CTTCCTGATTGAGTTTTGGAATGTTGTATTTTTCTAGGAATATGTCCATTTCCTCCAGGTTGTCTAGTTTGCCGGAGTAGAGTTGTCCATAGTATTTATTAACAATCATTTGTATTTCTGTGGGATCTGTTGTTATTTCGCCTCTATCATTTCTGATTTTGTTGATTTGGGTCCTTTCTCTTTGCTTCTTGGTGAGCCTGGCTAGAGGTTTGTCAATCTTGTTTATCCTTTCAAAGAACCAGCTCTTTGTTTCATTGATTTTCTGTATTGTTTTTTTGGTCTCTATGTCATTTATTTCTGTTTTAATCTTTATTATCTCCTTCCTTCTGCTCACTCTGGGCTTTTCTTGTTGCTCTCTTTCTAATTCTTTGAGCTGTAGATTTAGATGATTTACTACCATTTTTTCTTGTTTTTTGAGATAGGCCTGTAGAGCTATAAACTTCCCTCTCAGGACTGCTTTCATTGTGTCCCAAAAATTTTGGATTGTTGTGTTTTCATTGTCATTAGTTTCCAGGATGTGTTTAATTTCTTCTTTGATCTCATTGGTAACCCAATCAATATTTAATAACGTGCTATTCAGCTTCCAAGTGTTTGAGTATTTTGAGTTGTTTTTTATTGTAGTTTATTTCTAATATTATGGCCTTGTGGTCTGAGAAGATGCTTGGTATGATTTCAATCTTCTTGAATTCGGGGAGACTTTGTTTGTGACCCAATATGTGGTCTATTTTTGAAGATGTCCCATGAGCACTTGAGAAGAACGTATATTTTGTGGCTTTGGGGTGAAGTGTTCTGAAGATGTCAATTAAGTCCATCTGATCTAGTGAGTCATTTAGGATTGCTGTTTCTTTGCTGAGTTTTTGTCTAGAGGATTTATCCAGTGATGTCAGTGGTGTATTAAAGTCCCCTACTATGATTGTATTGTTGTCGATCTCTCCCCTGATATCTTCTAGGAGTTTTCTTATGTATGTGGGTGCTCCTGCATTGGGTGCATATATGTTTACCAGGGTTATATCCTCTTGTTGTATTGATCCTTTTAGTATTATGAAGTGGCCTTTCTTATCTCTTGTTACGGCCTTCACTTTGAGGTCTATATTGTCTGATATAAGTATTGCTACCCCAGCTTTTTTTTCATTTCCATTTGCCTGAAAGATATTTTTCCATCCCTTCACTTTCAGTCTGTGTGAGTCCCTTCTAATGAGGTGGGTCTCTTGTAGACAGCAAATATATGGGTCATGTTTTTTTATCCATTCAGCCACTCAATGTCTTTTGATTGGACCATTTAGTCCATTTACGTTTAAAGTTCTTATTGAAAGGTACTTGTTTGTAGCCATTTCTATTTTTTTTGTGTGTGTCTGTTTTGTTTCTGAGCTTTTTAGTTCTTCTTTTTACACCAGTCCCTTTAGCATTTCTTGCATTGCTGGCTTGGTGGTGATAAACTCCCTTAGCCTTTTTTTGTCTGTGAAGCTTCTTATTTCCCCTTCAATTTTGAATGATAGGCTTGCTGGATAGAGTATTCTTAGATTCAGTCCTTTGCTTTGCATCATTTTGTAAATTTCTGTCCATTCTTTTCTGGCCTGATGTTTTTCTGTTGAGAAATCATTTGATAATCTGATGGGGGATCCTTTGTAGATAACTCTCTGTTTCTCTCTTGCAGCCTTTAAGATTCTGTCTTTGTCTTGTACATTTGCCATCGTTATTATGACGTGTCTTGGTGTGGGTCTTTTGGGGTTCATCTTGCCTGGGACTCTCTGTATTTGTGTAACTTTTTTCTTCCCCATATCTGGGAAGTTTTCTGACATTATTTCTTCAAATAGATTTTCTAATCCTTGCTGCTCTTCTTGTCCTTCTTGCAGCCCTATTATGCGTGTTTTACTTCATTTCATGTTGTCCTGAAGTTCCCTTAGGCTCTCCTCCTGCTTTTTGATTTTTTTCTCCAGTTGCTGTTCAGATTGAGCTTGTTTCTCTGCCTTATCTTCTAATTCACTAATTCGGTCCTCTGCTTCTTCTAGTCTGCTGTTGAAACTTTCCATGGTGTTTTTGATTGTAGCTATATCACTTTTCATTTCTTCCTGATTCTTGCATAGGTTGTTGATTTTCTCATCCATCCGGTGAATGAATTGTACAGCCATTATTCTGAATTCTTTTTCTGTCATGTTGCATGCTTCAACTTCATTAGTTTCCTTTCTTGGTGACTCCTCATTTTCTTTCCTCTGGGTGTTGTTTCGTCTCTTCATTCTGATTATCTCCCGATGGTTCAAACGTCGAGTTGCGTGGGCCTGGGCCGTGTGCAGTGGGAGCCTCCCACCACCCTAGTGTCACTGAAGAGCTCTGACACTAAGATGCGTGGTTGTTGTGGGTTGGTGGGAACCAGGCTCACTCAGAGTCAGTGTTGTCAGCACTCAATGTGGCCTCATACGCACCCTTAGAATCAGGGACCCTGCCTGCACTGTGCTGAAACAGAGACCCCCCTGAAGCGTGTTGAAAACCAGAGCCCCCTAGTGTGCGCCAGGAGTCAGAGTTCCCCAGAATCCAGTGTCAGAGTCTCTGTTGCTTCGCGTGACCTTGCCTTGAGAATCAGGGTCCCTGTGTGCCCTTGCACCAGGAATTGGAGTCACTGGCTCTTAGTATGAATGCACAGGAGATCAGGATCTCAGGCTCAGGTGATAAGAAACACAGTCAAGTCACTGGTGCTTGGTGCTGCCACTTGCCCAGAGAATCGGGGTCCCTGGGCCTGTGATATGTGGGACAAATTCCCAGTGTTCGGGCGATTGCTCCCAGCCCAGGGCTCAGAAGCCGGCAGTGCGCCTAGGCTCAGTTCCTGGGGTCACGTGTTTCCTTCCAGCCCAGGTCTCAGAAGCTGGCAGTGTGCGTAGGATCAGTTCCAAGGTGCTCGCGCACTTCCAGACTAAAGATCCTGGAGCGCTGAGGCCCCAGCAAGGGGTGGGTCTATCAGTTAGTTACTCTGGCGCTGCCCGCAAGCCTGCAGGAAGTGGGGATGGGCTTTGTTACTCATGGATCTGCCGCGGGGATTTCTGAACTTTTGGTGTCCGCAGGTCTGTAGCTGTGGTCACAGGTCTCTGTCCCCAGTGGCTGCAGGGTCCTGGTATGCGTCTGAGATCAGACTGGGTGGTGCTGAGGCCAGGATCGTAGTCTCAGGCAGCTCTGTTTCCCAAGATGGCGTGGTCGCCGTGTCTGTGCTGGCCGCCCAGGAGTGTCCGCACAGGGAGCGGGACTCCGCCGCCTAAGACTGCCCGGTTTAGCAGCCCCTTAGAAGACCTGCAGAATCTAACTGTCCCTAGCTCATACACACACACCACGCACGTCCACACACTCCTCTATCACTTCCTTGCGCTCTCACACTCTCTCCCTCCCTACCTTCCTGCTGGTCGCCATTTTGGAAGTCTCCTGTATTTGCTCCTTTCACTAGCATATTCTTTTTGAGGATCTTCCATATTGTTGCAAGACACATTGTATATATCAGTACTTCTTTGCTTTTTACAGTTAAAGCATTATTGTTGTACTAGTGGCCTGGTGCATGAAATTTGTGCACATTAAAAGGGAATTTATTAGAAAAATATTTAATTAATTATTAGAAATATTTTAATATTGCTATTTGCCCATTCTCTATAATAGAAGTGTCAGAGATGAAAGAAAATTAGTAAAATGTATATGAAAATCTCCCTCCTGTCAGAGTCTGGGGTTTGCTGCGGACCCAGTGTCAAGTCTCCACCCACCCACGTGCCTTGGAATTGCGCAAAACCCAATCTGGTCGGCCCTACCCCTGTCAAGCCCTGCAGGGTGGGGGCCCAGTCTCAGATCCCCCGTCAAGCCCCGGTGGGCAGGGGGTGCAGCCTCAGGTACCCCGTCAAGCCTTGCTGGATGGGGGGACACAGCCTGAGGTCCCCCATCAAGCCCTGCCGGGCGGGTGGCGCAGCCTCGGGTGCCCTGGCGCCAGGGTGAGGGCGCGGCCTCAGGTCCCTCGGCCCCAGCCTCAGGTGCCCTGGTGTGAGGGCATGAGGGTGTGATGACCATTTGCATACTAGCTCTTTATTATATAGGATAGTATGTACTACCCTTCATCCACTTATCTGTTGATGGACATTTGAATTCTTTCTACCCTTTGAACATTGTCAATATTGTTGCTATGAACATTAATGTATAAGAATTCATCTGAATGCCTATTTTTATTTCTTTTGGATATATACCAGGAGTGCAATTGCTTGGTCATATGGTAATCCTATGTTTAGCTTTTAAAAAAAAATTAAATTTTTTATTGTACTAGTGCATGAGTCTCCTTTTTCCCCCATTGACCTCTCCCTGGTCACCACCACCCCCCAGCACATGGCCCCTACTGTCTTTGTCCATTAGTTACACTCATATTCATGCGTACAGGTCCTTTGGTTCATCTCTTATCCCCTCACCCCCCAACTCCTCTCATAGATTGGACAGTCTGTTCAATGCTTCTGTGTCTCTGGTTCTATTTTTGTTCATCAGTTTATGTTGTTCATTATATTCCACAAATGAGTGAGATCATGTGATATTTATCTTTCTCTGACTGGCTTATTTTGCTTAGCATAGTGCTCTCCAGTTCCATCAATGCTGTTGCAAATGGTAAGAATTCCTTATTTTTTACAGTAGCATAGTACTCCATTGTGTAGATGTACCACAGTTTTCTAATCCACTTGTCTGCTGATGGGCACCTAGGCTGTTTCTAAATGGTAGCTTTTGTAAATTGTGCTGCCATGAACATAGGGGTGCATATATCCTTTCTGATTGGTGTTTATGATTTCTTGGAATATATTCCTAGAAGTGGGATTACTGGATCAAATGGAAGTTCCATTTTTAATTTTTTGAGGAAACGCCATACTGTTTCCTACAGTGGCTGCACCAGTCTGCATTGCCTCCAGCAGTGCACAAGGGTTCCTTTTTCTCCACATCCTTGCCAGCATTTGTCATTTGTTGATTTGTTCATGATAGCCATTCTTTTTTTTTTTTTTTTTTTAAATATGGAACGCTTCACGAGTTTGCGTGTCATCCTTGCGCAGGGGCCATGCTAATCTTCTCTGTACATGATAGCCATTCTGACAAGTGTGAGATGGTATCTCATCATCGTTTTGATTTGCATCTCTCAGATGATTAGTGACTTTGAGCATGTTTTCATATGTCTCTTGGCCTTCTGTATGTCAACTTTTGAAAGGTGTCTATTTAAGTTCTTTGCCCATTTTTTGATTGGATTATTTATCTTCCTTTTGTTAAGGTGTATGAGTTCCCTGTAAATTTTGGAGATTAAACCCTTATCTGAGATAGCATTGGCAAATATGTTTTCCCATGCAGTAGGCTTTCTTGTTGTTTTGTTGATGGTTTCTTTTGCTGTGCAGAAGCTTTTTATTTTGATGTCGTCCCATTTGTTTATTTTCTCCTTAGTTTCCATAGTCCTAACTGCTGCATCGGTAAAGATATTGCTACGACATATGTCTGCTATTTTGCTGCCTATCGAGTCTTCTAAGATTTTTATGGCTTGCTTCCCGTCTTACGTTTAAGACCTTTATCCATTTTGAGTGCATTTTTGTGTATGGTGTAAGTTGGTGGTCTAGTTTCATTGTTTTTGCATGTATCTGTCCAAGTTTCCCAACACCATTTATTGAAGAGACTGTCTTGACTCCATTGTATGCTTTTGCCTCCTTTGTCAAATGTTAATTGAGCATAATGGCTTGGGTTGATTTCTGGGTTCTCTATTCTATTCCATTGATCTGTATGTCTGTTCTTGTGCCAGTACCAGGCAGTTTTGAGAACAGTGGCTTTGTAATATAGCTTGATATCTGGTATTGTGATCTCTTCAACATTGTTCTTCTTTCTCAAGATTGTTGCAGCTATTTGGGGTCTTTTTAAAATCCAGATGAATTTTTGGAGAGTTTGTTCTAGGTCTTTGACATGTGCTATTGGTATTTTAATAGGGATTGCATTGAATCCATAGATTGCTTTGGGTAGTATGGACATTTTAATGATGTTGATTCTACCAATCCATGAACATGGTATATTCTTCCATTTGTTTATGTCTTCTTCTATCTCTTTCCAGCGTCCTGTAATTTTCTGAGTACAGGTCCTTTATCTCCCTGGTTATATATATTCCTAGTTATCTTTAATTTTTTTGTTGCAGTGGCAAATGTGATTACTTTTTTAGTTTCTCTTTCTGTGAGTTCATTATCCTACATAATAAAAGGCTAATATGCAAATAGACCTAACGGTGGAACAACTGTACAGGTGAGCAGGGGCGCAAGACCAAAGTGGAGTGCCAGTTGCTGTCATTGGGGCGAGCCTCTGGTGGTTACTGAAAATTCTTTGCTCCCGCACGCTGCAGTCCCACCATGCACTTGCACCTGCTGCCCGTGCTGGAGCCACTGCATGCTCTCGCTGCTGGCACCCGGCGCCAGCCCTGATCTCTTGGCGCCGTCAGTGGGTGTGAGTGGCGGCTGCTGGCCCCAGTCTCCCCTTTGGGCTTCTCCACCTCCCCCTGCTCCTGAGGGGTGATCAGGGCCAGCAGCCACCTCTTGTACCAGCTGCTGCCGCCGGCCCCGCTTGCACCTGCAGGCAGTGCTGGAGCCACCACTCACACCCGCTGCCAGTGCCTGGTGCCAGTCCCTGATTGCTTGGCGCTATCAGTGGGTGCGAGCAGCAGCTGCCAGCCCTGATCGCTCCTGAGGGCTTTTCCACCTCCCCCTGCTCCTGAGGGGCAATTGGGGCAGTAGCCGCTGTTTGCACCTGCCCCCGATGCTGGCCCTGCTCACATTCACTGATGGCTCTGGCTTCAGCTGCTCCACGCCATCAGTGGGTGGGAGCAGGGCTGCCAGCAGACAGGGGACTGAGAGCCATGGTGGGAGGGGCCAATAGGGCCATGGAGAATGGGCTGAGACCCTCCTCTGTGCCTACCACAGCCTCATGGCCCACAGTTCCTTTCAAGGTACACTAATTCATGCACTGGGCCCCCAGTTGGTATATAATAATGCCATAGATTTCTGAGTGTTAATTTTGTATCTTGCTACATTGCCGAATTCATTTATTAAATCTAGTAGTTTTTTGATGGAGTCTTTAGGGTTTTTGATGTACAATATCATGTCATCGGCGAATAATGACAATTTTACTTCTTTTCCAATTTGGATACCTTTTATTTCTTCTTCTTGTCTGATTGCTATGGCTAGCACTTCCAGTACTATTTCAAACAGGAGTGGTGAAAGTGGGCATCCTTGTCTTGTTCCTGTTCTTAGGGGAAATGGATTTAGTTTTTGCCCAATGAGTATGATGTTGGCTGTAGGTTTTTCATATAAGGCTTTTATTATGTTAAGAGTTTTTACAGGAAAGGGTGTTGGATTTTGTCAAATGCCTTTTCTGCATCAATTGATATGATTATGTGATTTTTATCTCTAAAATTTGTTTATGTGTTGTATCACATTTATTGATTTGCAGATATTGTACCAGCCTTGCATCCCTGGAATAAATCCCACGTGGTTATGGTGTATGATCTTTCTAATGTAATGCTGGATCCGATTTGCTAGAATTTTGTTGAGGATTTTAGCATCTATGTTCATCAGGGATATTGGCCTGTAATTCTCTTTCTTTGTAGTGTCTTTATCTGGTTTTGGGATTAGGGTAATGCTGGCTTCATAGAAAGAGCTTGGAAGTGTGCCTTCTTCTTGAATTTTTTGAGTAATCTGAGGAGGATAGGTTTTATTTCTTCTTTGCATGCTTGGTAGATCTTCCCTGTAAAGCTGTCTGGACCAGGGGTTTTGTTTGCTGGAAGATTTTTGATTTTCCAGTAATTATCGGTGTATTCAGGTTTTTTGATTCTTCCTGATTGAGTTTTGGAAGCTTGTATTTTTCTAGGAATATGTCCATTTTGTCGAGTTTGTCCAGTTTGTTGGATTAGAGTTGTTCATAGTATTTTTTTTACAATCCTTTACATGTCTGTTGGATCAATTGTTACTTCACCTCTTTCATTTCTGATTTTGTTTATTTGGGTCCTCTCTCTTTGTTTCTTGGTGAGTCTGGTTAGAGGTTCACCAATCTTATTTATCCTTTAAAAGAACCAGCTCTTGGTTTCATTGATCTTTTGTATTGCTTTTTTGTCTCTATGTTGTTTTTTTCTGTTGAGTGTTTCCTCCACGTCCCACGTGGAGTAGGGTTCGGTATCTGAAAGAGGAGCCGCACAACAAATGAGAGAAAAAGACACAAGATAATTTTGCAATATTGGGGGACCAGGCGGCAAGTCCCGAAGGACTTCCTCAGTGCTCAGGCCTCACCAAGCTTTTATTCATCTGGGATGCACCCATAGCATAGCCCTTAGGCAGGTGACCCCCTGGTAACAAGCAGACTAGCCCATCAGCAAGGATTTACATAATAATAAATGGGGGAGTAGTTTCAGCTACCACTGTCTGGACAAACAGAGGTGGTGCCTAGCTTCGAGCTTTGCTAGCCTTTCAAAGGCACCCAGCCTTGGGGGGGGGGGGGGGTTTCGGGGAGTTCTCTGTCTATGCTTATCAGATAGTGAAGGCAATAAACAGTTTCCCACATCTCCCCCTTATTTTTTCTTTAAAAAATAATCAAGTCCTAATTTCAGTGTCCAAAAGTTCTGAGTCCATGTTTCAATGTCTAAAAGTTCATGTGTACATGCCAGCAATGAAATGTTGGTTCTGGATGGTGGAAAATGCAGGTCCGGTCCTTTCTGGTCTGGTCCTGGGCACGCTGCAGCGCCACACAGCTGCTGAGTGCTAGCATGGCAAGGCGTCTTCCACCATCTCCATCTCTGAACTGTCTCTTCTGTCTTTGTGGCTGGCTTTCTGTGATCCGTTGTTACAGGAATCCACATGGTCTTGTAGCTGTTCTCTGAAAGTATACAAACATATTCTCGACCAAAGGTTAAAGGAAAACAAAAACAAAAAACCTTACTTGGGGTCTTTTCTTTAAAATGATCTTTCCCTGGCTTACCCTGGCATAATGTGTGTTTTTTCTGGGTGTCTCACTATTAGCATTATAAACGAAAAATTTTTTTCTCTAAATGTAATTTAGTTACAGGATCTATTTCCTTACATGGTATTCTTCCACTATATTTTTCCACTATCCCCCCTTTTTATTTTTTTTTGATTTAATTAGGAGACTTCTTGGAAATTTTATAATGCAGTCTAGATAGCTTTAAATATTAATTTTTTGCGCGCAAAAAAATGAACCTGAACATGCTTTAGGTTCATAGCATGTTTACCATGAAATGAAAATTTTTGTTAATACTTTTTGAATAATTACTTATTTTAAATTAGCCAAATTTAATTAATTTGAAAACTATTTTGCTGTCAAATTTAATATTTTAACAATAATCTTAATTTACACCTTAAATATTAATGAAAAGGATCACTTTACATCCTTGTGAAGGCCCTGAGCATTCCTGTTGTTAGGCTAGATTTAGACATAGGGTCTGTTAGCCAAGCCTCCGTTTATCTGGATTCTGATTTCAGCTGGACCAAATCTCTTCTGTTATTTGGTTCCTGATCTGGGCTGGGCATGGGAAGCAAGAAGCAGCCATGGGGACAGGAGACCTTCCTCAGTAGGGGCGAGTGTTCAAGCCCGTGCACCATTGGGGGGGTTCTGTGCCCCACCTTCGTTGCACCCCAAGTTTTCTCCTACTGGCCCCCGGCTGTGCCTGTCTTAGGTCGCCCCACCTTGTGGGGTCTTATCCGTCGTTGACTACCAACCATCTCTGGGCCAAGTAGGGTGATGTGAGGTTCAGTTCTGTCTCCTTGTTAACCTATGTGTCTCTGGCCTCCATGCCCAGCAACTGCCTTTGGATCCCCTCGCCTGCTGGCGGGGCCCCGGCATTGATCATAGGGAACCCAGGTTTCTTCTCCAGAGAGGGCCCAGCTTACGCCATTGGGCCAGAGACAGATCCATGGTACCAGCTTTTCATGATCCCAGCTTGAACAGAGAGCTCAGGTAACAGCTGTAGGCAATTGGATTCCTCTTGGCAAAAAAAAAAAAATCAAGATAGGTCAATACAGAATGCTTAAGTGCCTTCCCCAGGAGGCCCTCCACACAGTGGAAAGGAATAAATCCCTTCATGTAAAA